AGCTCTTCTGAATTGTTGGCTCTGGTGTGTCACATCTTCCTCTTCACGATAACTCATAGATTTTCTATGGGGTTTAGTTCAGGAGAGTTTGCTGGCCAATTAAGAACAAGGATACCATGGTCCTTAAACCAGGTGCTGGTATCTTCGGCACTGTGTGCAGGTGACAAGTCCTGTTGGAAAATTAAATCTTCATCTCCATAAAGTTGTTCAGCAGCAGGAAGCAGGAAGTCTCTAAAACTTCCTGGTAGATGCTGTGTTGACCTTGAACCTCAGAAAACACAGTGGACCAACACCAGCAGATGACATGGCCCCAAACCATCACTGACTGTGGAAACTTGACACTGGACCTCAAGCAACATGGATTCTGTGTCTCCTCTCTCCCTCCAGACTCTGGGACCTTGATTTACAAAGGAAATGCACAATTTACTTTCATCAGAGAACAGAACTTTGGACCACTCAGCATCAGTCCCAGGGGAGACTCTTCTGATGATGTCTCTTGTTCAAGAGTGGCTCGACACAAAGAATGTGACAGCTGAAACCCATGTCTCGCATACGTCTGAGCATGGTGGTTCTTGAAGCACTGACTCCAGCAGCAGTCCACTCTTTGTGAATCTCCCCCACATTTTGGAATGGGTTTTGCTTCACCATCCTCTCCAGGGTGCAGTTATCCTTATTGCTTGTACACTTTTTTCTACCACATCGTTTCCTTCCCTTCGTCTCTCTGTTAATGTGCTTGGACACAGCGCTCTGTGAACAGCCAGCCTCTTTAGCAATGACCTTTTGTGACTTGTCCTCCTTGTGCAAGGTGTCAATGGTCGTCTTTTGGACAACTGTCCAGTCAGCAGTCTTAACCATGATTGTGTAACATACAGAACTAGACTGAGACCATTTAAAGGCCTTTGCAGGTGTTTTGAGTTAATTAGCTGATTAAAGTGTGGTGTCTTCAATATTGAACCATCCATCCATCATCTTTTACCCGCTTCTTCCATTTTGGGTCACGGGGGTCGCTGGTGCCCATGTCCAGCAATCACTGTGAGAGGGGCGGGGTACACCCTGGACAGGTCTCCAGTCCATCACAGGGACACATGGAGACAAACAACCATTCACTCTCTCTCTCTCACCTAGAGACAATTCAGAGTCACCAGTCAGTCTAACATGCATGTTTTTGGTCTGTGGGAGGAAACTGGAGTACCCAGAGAAAACATGCAAACTCCACCCAGAAAGGTCCCTGGACCAGGATTTGAACTAGCACCCTTCTCGCTGAGAGGCAGCAGCTCTACTAGTTGCGCCACTGTGTTGCCTCAATATTGAATCTTTTCACAATATTCTAATTTTCTGAGATACAAAATTATGGGTTTTCATTAGTTGTCAGTTATAATCATCAACATTACAATAAACAAACATTTGAAATATATCAGTCTGTGTGTAATGAATGAATATAATATACAAGTTTCACTTTTTGAATGGAATTACTGAAATAAATCAACTTTTCATGATATTTTAATTTATGACAAACAAAACGCTTTACTCTCAGGCTGCAGGTTTACTTGTGGTTCCTTGAGTTTCTAAAAGCAGAATGGGAGGCAGATCTTTCAGTTCGCAGGCTCCTCTCTTGTGGAACCAACTTCCAGTTTCTGTCCGTGAGGCTGACACATTATCCAGTTTGAAGACTGGGATTAAGACTTGCCTTTTTGCTAAATCCTAGAGGTTGGTGGTTTCCTGAGCAATTCCTTAGATATGCTGCTATAGGCTTAAGACTGCTGGAGGACAAATTGACCACATATCTTCACTGTGCTTCACTTAAAGATCTGAAGCTCTCAACCTTGACCTGTGGCTTTAAACATTTGTTAAGTTCATGGGAAAAACCAGTGCAGACAGACATGTTCCCGTTTTTACTTTTCCACATCGCCTTACAACCTAGCTGTCTTTTATTGTTTTTAAATTAACATTTTATTTTCACTTTTCAATTTGTATGCATCCTTTGATTGTCTATTGTTTTCCACTGTTGTCATCACCCTCTGTTAAAACCAGGTCTCTCTTGTAAATGAGTCCGAGGCTCAGTGGGATTAACCTGTAGAAATAAAGGTTGAATGAATGCTGCTGCCTTTACTTGCTCTATTCTACCGGTTTGCATCCATTTTTACACGTGTTTTTTCTTTCCCCATATAGAAAGTACATGTGAACCTGACATTTTGTTTGTCTCTCCTTCCTGTCCTCTCAACCAGCCGGTCAAAGCAGATGGCCGCTTGTCCTGAGCCTGGTTCTGCTGGAGGTTTCTTCCTCCTGAGGGAGTTTTCCACTGTTGCCATTGTGCTTGCTCAGGATGGGAGACGTGAAGATTCAACTTGTCTGGCCTCCTTAGATAAAGAACTTTACTAATTGTTTTTTCTATGTACGTGAATGTTCCTGTTCCGTGCCCTGAGACAACTTTGTTGTGACTTGGATCTATAATAAACAGAATTGAATTGTGAACCTACTAAAGTGGCTGCTGAGTGTATACAAATAGAGTACATTATTTACACACGCACAATTTTTTTAAACTTTTTTTATTGTAACTTATTAAGAAGAATACAGACGTGCCCTCTGAAAACAACCACTCTTCCACTGAGCATCACCCCCACAACAGAACAAATACCCAAAGAGACTAATCAACAGAAACAAGATCCAACAGAACAGTATTTCTTTGTACAAGAAGTAAAGCGGTGTTGCAGTTCATGCAGCTCTGGGATGACAGTGAGGTTGAGGTGGAGTTCCAAACCTGGTTATGAATTTTATTACAGCTTCGTCTTGAGACTGTATGTCAGTCACAAAAAGGATGTGAGACTCAAACAAGCTGCATGACTATCGTTATCCAGGAGCCTCTTTACTGCGCGAGTCAAGCAGGTCAAGTCATTCCACCATCAAGGAAACTGCAACCCAAGCCTGGTCCTTTCCTTCAGGGTCCCAGTCATCCTTAGGTGTTAGTTTCTGCTAGTTTTGGAGGGTCCAGGATCTGGTCTCCTTCTGAGCAGGGCTGCAGAGACTGAAGGATATTTTCCAGGGTCCACTGCTCCTCTCGTAAGACGTGATCCTGCAGGGTGAACGGACCCTGCTTTGTTCTGATCAGCTCCTTCACATGAGCACATGATGACAAAGCTGCAGCAAACAGGCAGAAATATGACATGAGTGAAAGGAAAACTAGTCTCAGTTAAAGGGATAGCTCAGATCTTTAGAAGTGGAGTTCTGTAAAACAGTTTAAACAACACACTTGATAACTTTATGGTGAATAGTGGAGGATAAAAAATGTGAAAGCACATTAGGAAGACTGTTTTTATGACCAGTGCACCACTTGTAAACCTAGTGTAGGACGAGTTTAGTATGGATCTGATTAGCTTAGCTTCATGGTTGCTAACAGCTGTGCTAAATTAACAAGCCCCGCTCCACTCGCTGTTTTCTTAGATTCTTGAGGGCAGACAAAGCAAAAAAATTCCAGCCATTTTATCAGTTATCGGCAGTATCGCTGTTCCCGCCCAAAATTGGTATCGTGATTGGCTAAAATTTCCATTTCGGTCGGGCTCTAGTCTTCTCCACATGTTTTGGGTCACTGTTGTGTTGGAAGGTGAACCTTCCATCCAGGTGGAGGTTCTGACCGATTCGCCCAGATCCGGATGCTGAAAAGCACTCCACAATATGATGCTGCCACCAACATGCCTGTATCCAGTATCCTTCTTGAACTTAAGGTCATATCTGACTGGGTTGCATCTGTTGAGAGACAAGTTGGGGACCACAAATTGTCCCAACTTGTCAAGCTGAGCCCATTTTTTTAGTTGCTGTCCCACTGAAATCTGTTTGCAGCTGACCTCAGGGAAGGTGGTGGGACATATGGTTGTAGCAGATCAGAGAGATGGGGAGGGGGGGCGGGGGCAAAACTGTTCAGTGATTGGTATACATACAGTAGTATTTTGAACTGGATTCGAAAGTGAACCGGTAACCAGTGCAGTGAGGCCAAAACTGGTGTAATGTGCTCTCTTTTGCCTGTACTGGTTAAAAATCGGGCTGCTGCATTCTGGACCAGTTGTAGTCGTGCAATGGAGGTCTGACTGATACGAAACAGGAGTGAATTGCAGTAATCAAGCCTAGATGTAATGAATGCATGTATTACTGCCTCCAGGTTCTTTTTGGACAATATGGGCTTCAGTTTAGACAGCCGCCTCAGTTGGAAGAAACATGATTTAACAATCATGTTTATATGATTAAGTTTCAGGGAAGGGTCAATTATCACTCCCAGATTAGTGACTCACGCCAACTCTCTTTAAGTATTTGAAAAGAGACCTGCAGACTGTCTTTCCTCCACTTTCGCTCCGCGCTCCTGCACTGCTGCCTAACGGCCTTGGTGATGTCATTCAGCCAAGGTTCTGCTCTGAGTTTTGATTTTTTTAGTTTTAACCAGAGCAACATGTCTTTAAGCAGACAGAGTTGAACTGGGATGTCATCTCCTCAGTGGTAGTGAGAAACACCGGGGGCTGAATTATCATTTCAGAGTTATAAACATCTGTGAAACGTGTGGCAGTGAAATGGTTAATGGCCCGGCTACTACGTGCAGGAACGCACGGCTTAGGAGTTAGATGGAGGAGGGTGAACTCAAACTGGACTGGCATGTGGTCTGAAAAAACATCATCACCAATTTCAAGATTACCAACAGTCACATCACGAGTTAAAACAAGGTCCAGTGTATGTCCGCGCTCTTGGGTGGGACCGTTTACATGCTGAGTTAAATTAAATGAGTCCAATAAATCTAAAAAGTCCTTAACCAAGGGCTTCTCAGGACAGCACACATGCAAATTAAAGTCCCCAATAATGAAAACATGCTCATATTTTGGTGTGATTTCAGCCAAAATGTCAGAAAACTCATTTATGAAATCCTTAGATCGAGGTGGGCGGTAGACGAGTGCAAATAAAGTCTGAGGTGAATGGCCGAGTTCAAAGACGCTCAGCTCAAAGCTGGCGCGGGAAACTGGGATGGGCAGTTGTTTACAGTCAAAAGTTGATTTGAATATTGTTAATAATCCACCACCGCACCGGCCTGATGGCTGCAGGGCGTTAAAATACAGACAGTTCGGTGGCAATAATTCCGTCAAGGCGCTGGGCTCACCCGGAGACATCCAAGTCTCTGTGATGCAGAGAAAGTCCAGATCATGCTCTTGAAAGTAGTCCCTGAGGATAAAAGTTTTGTTGGTAACAGATCTTGCGTTGACCAAACACATCTGGATACTGTCCAAAGTGAACTCAGCAGTGGTGGAGGGAGCGCGTGCCAATGGCAGCAGGTTTTCAATAACAGCCCCACCGGGTCGGCCCGTGCGCCGCACCAGCCGACAACTCCCGTTGTTTACCTGGTCCGGGCACGCGGGAAGCTGGCGATGGAAACCATGACCACCAGCTGAAGAGGAAGATGCAGCGCGCAGGGCTTTCAGCTTTACCAGCTGCCCAGCACGTTTTCCCCGGAGTCTGGAACGATATCTCCGGGCAGGGAGGTGAGGAGCACAGCGAAGGTAAACATGCACGTCTGCCAGCAGCGGGGTAAGGGGGGGGGGTCCAGCGGAACGCTCATAATGATCCAAATAAGCGACATCGGCGGCAGAAAAACGAAGATCCAGAAGCTGTTGTCGGTCATAAACCAGCAGCGAGTTTATGTCCCAGATGAAAAACGAACAAAACAAATAATCCGAACACCATCAGCAGAGGTGGCTTGCAAGCCATGTACACGGGCGCCATCTTAGTGGAAATTCATCCGCAAACCCGCCCACTCAGACCAGTATTTGCAGTTTGACCCCCATCACCCTTTGGAGCACAAGTTAGGAGTCATCAGGACTCTGTACCACAGAGCAGACAGCGTCCCCACTAGCTCAGGAGCCAGGCAGAAGGAGAAATCCCACACAAAACAGGCTCTAGAGCAATGTGGATATCCTAACTGGGCCTTCCTGAAAGCAGAGAAGAAACCCAAACAGGACTCCAGTCAGCCATCAGGTGAAAAGGAGGAACCCAGACCCAGACCAGTGGTCATTCCATATGCTGAGGGAGTATCAGAGAAACTGAGACGTTTATTTTCTAAACATAACGTCCCAGTGGCTTTTAAACCCCAAAATACATTAAAGACTGGTTCATCCCAAAGATCCAGTCCCCCGGCACAAACAGAGTAATGTTGTGTATGCTGTTCAGTGTCAGGAGGGTGAACAGTCTTACATCGGGGAAACTAAACAGCCACTGGCCAAAAGGATGGACCAGCACAGAAGATCAACATCATCAGGCCAGGACTCTGAGGTCTACACTCATCTCCAGGCCAGCGGTCACTCTTTCAAGGATGAAGATGTTCACATCCTGGACAGAGAGGAACAATGGTTTGAGAGAGGAGTAAAGGAGGCCATCTTTGTGAAAAGAAACCGTCCATCATTAAACAGGGGTGGAGCCTCTGGGTTCAACTGTCCCCCTCTTACAATGCTGTGATTGCTAGTATCACTCAGCCCTCTGTGAACAGTAAACAGCCATCAGGTGCTAATGATCCATTGTTAGGCTGATGGTCCTTCTTGAGCATGTGATCAGCTGGTTTTGGTTGTCAGCAGCAAAACTGGTTGATCCACTCTAAGAAGGTGCTATTTAAGAGACTGAGCTGAAAACAGCACCTCAGACTGAGGAAGTCCTCAGGATGAGAGACGAAACGTTTTTATATTTTTTTGTTGTTTTGCTTTGTTTTGTTTTTTGAATGTCCAGAGGACCAGATTTAACGTTTTTAGATTTTTTTTCCTGGATTATTGAGCATGCATCAGGATATTTTGATCTTACTGTATGTCACAAATCATAACAAGTGGGGTTAATGTGTGTGGAGTAGGGGTCTGAGAATAACTACAATCCACCTCTTCACTTCAAACACTGTTAAGAACTTTAATAACTTCTAAAGATCTGAATTTCTCCTTTAACTCGTACCACAGCTGAACTGAGTTCTACAGCAAACATCAACAAGTGACATTTTAATGAAAAGGAGAATGTAGTTTTACCTTTTCCCAGGTCATCCACCAAACTTCTGACATAAAATCCACCGCCACACTCAATATCTGTTGCATAAATGAAAATAAAATAAGAAAGGACAGAAATTTCATCCAAAATGCTGCTTCGAGAAACTAAGAAAGGCAGAGTGATCAACATGTGCTGACCCAGAGTGAAGAGAGGAGATCTGAACTCCTGCAGGGTCAGGCTGTACACAGTAACAGGCCTTGCAGGCTTGGCCTCAACCTTGTGACCTTGCTTTAACAAGACAGAGAGGCGCTGACCGTCTTTTTTCAGTGCAGAGTAGCTAAAAAGCAAACACAGTAAAACATCACCTTACGTAGGAGATGGGCTTTGCTCTTTGAAGCCAACAGTTTATGTTTTCATAAGTACGGTAGTTAACGTTAGAAAGTAGTCATACCCCCTTCACTTTATGTTGCAGCTTGATGCTACTATTTTTTACGTTAAATTTTCTTAGTAATCTTCACTACTCAGTACAACAAAATGATGAAGTAAATTCTTTTGGTAAATTTCTTTAAATAAATTCCTTAAATATCACATTTAATTTGATTTCAACTCTAACTCTGGCTGGGCTGTTTTAAGGCATTAACAAAGTGGTTCCTAAGCCACTACTGTTAAATGTGCGATATATCGATAGGGCCATTATTTCAGGCTGTTAGATGTTTGGGGACTTATAGTATCGGTGATAATTGTCCCATTATGCCCATTATATATAAACACTTAATTTTCACCCCTAAAATTCTGGTAACTAGCCGTAATTGTAAGAATGTATCCAGCAGAGGGCGCATGAAGACTACTTTCAAGTCATGTTAAGTTTCATGTTTGACATTCAGCACACATGAAAAAGGGAGGCATACTGTGTGTAGTGTATTTTGGTGAACAGAGCATGGTAAGTTTAATTGAACTGATCTGTAAAATTAAAAAAATTTATAAAATTGAAAAAAAAATTACACTCTTCAACTCTCCAACCAGCTTGTTGGATTACGTCAGAATGTGCCTCTCAAGTTGGCAGGCTAACTTTAGTGTTCAGATGCACCGCCTTCATGACATTAGCTCCACTGTCAGTAGTTATAATGAGTCTTGTTGGATTGAGCTGCCAGTTTGTGAGGACATTCAGTGTTAGCAACATTATCTTTGTCGTCCTCAATGAAAGGAATCATCTGAAATCTTTACTTCGCTCAAACGAAAAATAAACACTGCTGCGATCAATACTAATTAGGTCTTACATGACTGTTTAAAAATGAACAGAGAAGGGTGTTTCTTTGTTTAATTTATATTTTTTTAACACACTTGATAACTTTATGGTGAATAGTGGAGGATAAAAAATGTGAAAGCACATTAGGAAGACTGTTTTTATGACCAGTGCACCACTTGTAAACCTAGTGTAGGACGAGTTTAGTATGGATCTGATTAGCTTAGCTTCATGGTTGCTAACAGCTGTGCTAAATTAACAAGCCCCGCTCCACTCGCTGTTCTCTTAGATTCTTGAGGGCAGACAAAGCAAAAAAAATTCCAGCCATTTTATCTGTTATCGGCAGTATCGCTGTTCCCGCCCAAAATTGGTATCGTGATTGGCTAAAATTTCCATTTCGGTCGGGCTCTAGTCTTCTCCACATGTTTTGGGTCACTGTTGTGTTGGAAGGTGAACCTTCCATCCAGGTGGAGGTTCTGACCGATTCGCCCAGATCCGGATGCTGAAAAGCACTCCACAATATGATGCTGCCACCAACATGCCTGTATCCAGTATCCTTCTTGAACTTAAGGTCATATCTGACTGGGTTGCGTCTGTTGAGAGACAAGTTGGGGACCACAAATTGTCCCCAACTTGTCAAGCTGAGCCAATTTTTTTAGTTGCTGTCCCACTGAATTGTTTGCAACCAGCATGGCATAAGGTCATGTTTTGTGTGGTTAGTTTATTTGAATGAATTTTTTTCCAACTCAGCTCATTTTGTGCCCAACCTTTATCTACCCCCACACCTTTGATTTAATCTGCTGGAGCACGCTTTAGAAATGAAATCAAATTCAGACCCGTTTTTAAAATAATAGTGTCCCACTACTGAGATATGTTTTTCATCTGTAGGTTTATTGATTCAAGGAATTTTTTACTGTCATACCAGCTAACATTTGCATGTTTATGGTATGAAATTCGGACTCAGGTCCCAGATCAAAAAGTCTAACAATTAACAAGTAAATAAATACAAAAGTATATATATATATATATATATATATATATATATATATATTTATATATATGCGAGGAAAATACCCTGCGACTTTGCAAGTTCTCCCACTTAGAAATCATGGAGGGGTCTAAAATTTTCATCTTAGGTCCATGTCCACTATGAGAGAAAATCTAAAAAATAAATAAAATCTGGAAATCACAATGTAAGATTTTTAAACAATTTATTTGTGTTTTACTGCTGCAAATAAGTATTTGAACAGCTGCCAATCAGCAACAGTTCTGGCCCTCAAAGACCTGTTAGTCCACCTCTAAAAAGTCCACCTCCACTCCACTTATTATTCTAAATTAGAAGCAGCTGTTTGAGGTCGTTAGCTGCATAAAGACACCGGTCCACCCCACACAATCAGTAAGACTCCAACTACTAACATGGATAAGACCAAAGAGCTGTCCAAAGACACCAGAGACAAAATTGTAGACCTCCACAAGGCTGGAAAGGGTTACGGGGCAACTGCCAAGCAGCTTGGTGAAAAAAAATCAACAGTTGGAGCAATTATTCAATTCAATTCAATTCAATTCAAAAATACTTTATTAATCCCAGAGGGAAATTATTTTGTTGTTGTAACTTGTTATCCTCATTTAATTAAGAGATGTCATAGATGCTGATGCTGTAGACAGGAAGGATCTCTTGTAAAGGTCCATCCCACAGTGGATCCTAAGAAACTGGCTGCAGATGCCGTCCAATTCGTCCACCCAGACTCGGCTGGCCTCTTGGTTCCCCTGGACTGTAGGACCGCTTGAATGGCGGGCAGAACTCCTCCCAGAGCGATGGCCACTCCTCCCAGCAGTCTGCCGAGCTCCTCATAGCTGTGGACAGCCAACTGTAGGTGCTGAGGGATGATCCTGTTCTTCTGCTGTCGTGAGCCATGTTTCCTGCTAGTTCCAGGATCTCAGTGGTCAGGCACAGCTGGCAGGTAGATGAGAATGCGTCCATAGAACATCCTTTTCAACTCATTTGAGAGTTGGGGCCATAGTTGAGATATTATTTGAGCTTTTGAGATGTTAATCAGCTGCTGTTGTTGTAGAAAACTGCCTTGTTGCCATGGCTACGCATCATAACAAATGTCCAAAACTAAAAAAAGTTTCAGTAAAAATCCTTCCAGCTGCACAGCATCTGATACCAGAGGAAACAATCATCCAAAAAATATGATTTACATCCAGAAAAAGAGGAATTAAAGTTTCCAAAAACAAAATCTCAGAATGAAAGTAACAGAGCTGCTACAACATGCAGCCACCTTGAGCGGCGCAATAGAATATTAGAATATTCTTAATACAATATTAGAAAATGGAAGAAGTTAAACATGACTGTCAATCTCCCTCGAAGTGGGGCTCCATGAAAGATCTCAACTCGTGGACTATCAGTGATCCTAAAGGTGAGGAATCAGCCCAGAACTACATGGGAGGAGCTGGTCCATGACCTGAAGAGCTGGCACCACTGTTTCCATGGTTACTATGAGTAATACACCAAGACGTCATAGTTTAAAATCACGCATGGCACGGAAGGTTCCCCTGCTTAAATCAGCACACGTCAAGGTCCGTCTTAAGTTTGACCATGACCATTTGGATGATCCAGAGCAGTCATGGGAGAAAGTTATGAGGTCAGATGAGACCAAAATAGAACTTTTTGGTCTTAATTCTACTCGCCGTGTTTGGAGGACGAAGAATGATGAGTAACATCCCCAAAACACCATCCCTACTGTGAAGCATGGGGGTGGAAGCATCATGCTATGGGGGTGTTTTTCTGCACATGAGACAGGACGACTATACTGTATTAAGGAGAGGATGACCGGGGCCATGGATTGAGAGATTTTGGGGAACAACCTCCTTCCCTCAGTTAGATCATTGAAGATGGGTCGTGGCTGGGTCTTCCAACATGACAATGACCCGAAGCACCCAGCCAGGAGAACCAAGGAGTAGCTCTGTAAGAAGCAGATCAAGGTTCTGGAGTGGCATAGCTAGTCTCCAGACCTAAACCCTATAGAAAATCTTTGGAGGGAGCTCAAACTCAGTGTTTTTCAGCGACAGCCCAGAAACCTGCTGATCTAGAGAAGATCTGTGGAGGAATGGACCAAAATCTCTGCTGCAGTGAACCTGGTGAAAAACTAAAGGAAACCTTTGACCTCTGTAACTGCAAACAAAGATACTGTACCAAATATTAACATTGATTTCACAGGTGTTCAAATACTTATTTGCAGCAGTAACACACAAATAAATTATTTTTTTTAAAAATCATACATTTTGATTTCTGGATTTAAAAAAAATTTTTTTTAGATTCTGTCTCTCACAGTGGACATGCACCTAAGTGGGAGAACTTGCAAAGTCACAGGGTATTTTCTTCACTGTATATATAGATATATATATACAATTAAAATAAAGTAAAAAGTAAGATGAAGCTGAATTAAGTAAAGCTCGAGTTCAGCAGTCTGACAGCTGCAGGGAAGAAACTGTTTCTGAGGCTGGTGGTCTTGCTCCAAATGCTCCTCAGTTGCCTGCTTGAGGGGAGGGGCTGGAACAGACTGCGTGCAGGATGAGTGGAGTCTGCCATGCCACATGGTGATGCAGGTGCAGAGAACACTTTCCACCACACAGCGATAGAAGCTCCTCAGGACAGAGCTCCCAAGTCCAGCTCTCCACAGCTTCCTGAGGAAGTAGAGATGCTGGTGGGCCTTCTTGACCAGACAGAAAGTGTTGGCTCTCCAGGTGAAGTCACTGGATATATGCATCCCCAGGCAAATGTAGCAGGAGACCACCTCCACAGCTGTTCCTCCATTGTGTAGGGAATGAAGAGAATCCTTGTCCCTTCTGAAATCCACCACCATCTCCTTGGCCTTCTTCACAATGATGCAGAGATTATTGTCTCTGCACCACTGCACCAGGTGTTCCATCTCCTCTCTGTATTTGGACTCATAATTGTTCGTGATGTGCCCCACTACTTCTGTGTTGTCCACAAACTTCACTATATGACAGCTGTGGTGTCTAGCCAAGCAGTCATATGTCAGCATAGTGAACAGGAAGGGGCTCAGCACACAGCCCTGGGGCAAGCCAATGCTGCGAGTGATGGAGGAGACAACGTTGTGGATCCTGACAGTCTAAGGTCTGTTGGTCAGGAAGTCCAGAATCCCGTTCCCCAGTATGGGACTCGGTCCAAGAAAGGAGAGCTTCTGATACAGGGTCTGTGGGATGATGGTGTTGAAGGCCGAGGAGAAATCCAGAAAGAGCAGACAGATGTAAGAATTTCTGCTCTCCAGGTGGGTGAGGGCTGTCACAACGCTGTGTGGACCACCGATGAGATGGCGTCAGCAGTGGAGCAGTTCCTTCTGTAGGTGTACTGATGTGGGTCCACAACGACATAGATGGAGTCCTTGGTATGCCATGACCAGTCTCTCGAAGCACTTCATGACTACTGATTTTAAGGCTATAAGTCGGTAGTCATTCAGGGCTGTCACTGTGAAGCAATTGGATACAGGGACAATAGTGGTGGATTTAAAGCAGGTGGTGACAAATGCCATTTACAGTGAGGTGTTGAAAATGTCCATCAACACCTCAGACAGCTGGTGTGTGCAGTCCTTCAGTAACCATCCTAGGATGTTGTTGGGGCCTGCAGCCTTATGGGGGTTGATTCCCTGAAGGTTCTTCCTCACATCTGCAGTGGTCACACAGATGGGCGTGTCACTGGGTGGTGGTATAAGTCTGGTGCTGGGGGGGTGGAGTTGTTAGGATCCTCAATGCGAGCATATAACTTATTGAGTGCATCTGGCAATGAAGGTTCCCTTGGGCATTGTACATCCCTGATGTTGTAGTTCATAATGCACTTGATGCCTTTTCACATGCGCTGGGGGTCCTTGGTGATGAAGTGACCCAGAATTTTCTGGGCGTATGTGGCTTTGGCCCTTGCAATGCCTGTAGTCAGTCTTTTTCTCGCCTCTCGGAGTGTTGATGCCTCCACTGTCTTGAACGCAGCATCCCTAGCTTTCAGCAGAGCTCTCACCTCAGCATTCAGCCAGGGTTTCTGATTCGGATAACAGGTTACTGTCCTGGTGGTGATGACATCATCAGCACACTTGGAGATTCATTCATTCATTCAATCTTTATTTAGACAGATAAATCACATTGAGCCTCGAAGACTCATTTACAAGTGAGATATGTTTAGACAGACAAAAACTAGTGAAACTGGACACATGGAGGGAGGCAAAAAAATTCCTATTAAACTTTTTCTTCTTGGCTGAGAAGAAAAACTAATATTAAAACAACACCTTGCACATACAAGCACATAGTGGCGTAGACATTCAGCAGATGGGAGGGACGATGAGAGCGGTGAGCAATGTCCAAGGATGCACTCAAGGACACTGTAAGAGTTCTGATAAGGATGGAATGGGTGCAGTTCGGTTCGGTAGGTGGAGCACTAGGTTCTGTTCATAGGGTGGTGCACCACGCATGGTAGGGGAAACACTATTCCATTAATTCACATTTAAACATGTTCAGCTCATTCAGCACTTTCCTGTTGTGACTTTTGGTGATTTAGAAATTTAAAAAATATATATAGGGCGGCTGTGGCTGAGTGGTTAAAGCAGTCGTCCTCCAATGCGAGAGTTGGAGGTTCAAATCCACCAGCAGTCACATGTCGAAGTGCCCCTGGGCAAGACACTGAACCCCTCATAGCCTCTGATGTGTGTCCCATCAGTGTATGAATGTGATCTAAAAGCACTGATTAGTCTCTTTAGAATGATTTGTTCAACTATCTTTGTAGAGATCTAGTATAGAGCTGTATGAATGGGTAAATGAGGCACAGATTGTTGTAAAGAGCTTTGAGTATCTTGAAATAAGATAGAAAGGTGCTATATAAGTACAGTCCGTTTACATTTATCATATATATTATTTAGCTTTTTCAGCCATGCTTTCCTCTTTGAAAATGAATGGAACTTTCCACATTCTTCCTACCACAGCCCTCTGTGTGGAGCAGAAAGCTCCCATCTAGGGTGCCTGGGGGAGCAGACAGTGGGGGTTAAGGGCCTTGCTCAAAGGCCCAGAGTGGGACAAATGAGTGTGGAGGAAGGTGTGGGTGTTTCACCTTTCCCAGCCACATTTTGATGATGTCGGTCCGGGGAGTTGAACTGGCAATCTTCCGATCACAGACTCGCCTTCTCTAGCCACTGCGCCACCACTCCCCCAAACCTAAAAAGCAACTATTGTAGCAAAAGCTTTGAATACTTAGAAGGAAAATGATTTTTTTAATTAGCTTTGTAAAATTGTGTAAAATTTGGTTTTTGCTTTGTCATAATGAGGTACTGAATGCCGATATATAAACAATTGCAAGCAGCAGCATAACCAAACTGCGTAAAATGTAAAGGGAGTCTGAATACTTGCTGAATTTACTGTTTGTGTATTATTTTGAAAAAGATTATTTATCTTTAGAAACTCTTACTCACAGTGGAGGAACCTGCATGATTTCACCAGTAAAAGATTTCAGTTTGTCCTCCATGTCTAGCCTGGTTATGTGTTCTTAGGTTGAGCAGGGAAGGAGGGAAATTAATAAATTAATGTTAAAATGTAGATGAACAGTTGGCACTGCTGTATAAAGAACGGTGAAAAGAGTAAATCTTTGCTTACCAAAGCCTTTCTCTAAAATCACTGACCCTGTGGCATCTAGAGTGTCTGTAGCTGTTCCCAGTTCTCCTACAGCAACATATTTCTAGAAAACAAAAAACATATCAGGATTACAGATTTAACGACAGATTTAATATTTTCATGACTACATAGAAGAGCGTTCACAACTCATAGGCAGGAGGCTAATACTGCTACACTGGAAGATTGCAGACACCACCAGGTCTGACGGTCTACCAGCTGTTACGCTGACAACACTGTAGTGCAGTCCTTCTCAAACGGCTTATTTGCACTGCTCCTAATGAGCCCCAACTCTGCACAGCCCTGCTCAGCTCAGCCTGGATTTGCACCTGCACTTTAGGACGGATTCTGGAGGCGTGTCCAGAATCCAAGTCCTGCTAATGAGAGTTCTGTGATGAGTTAAACTCAAAGCAGTCTGCTCCTCAGATAAAAAGCGTTTATTATTTTTATCTTTGAATATTTCTGTTCAGAGCCTGACACGACTTCTGTTGTGACTTGGCGCTGTATAAATAACCTGAACTGAATTAAATCTGATGAACCAGATTCTACAAAACATTTATTTAAAATTCTACATTTTTCTTCATCATTTGATCTATTTGTGCTCATTGTAGTTTTGTTTCTTGTATACAGATTATTTTTTCTTGCATAGATTATTTTTAGCTTTGATTTAAAGCTTTAAAGTGTAATTCTTGTTTTGTGATTTGTTCATCTGTGGGTTAGAATAAAGTTGAACCAAAGTCTCTTCTTTAAACATGTTTGAGGGAATTATTCCTGAGATCCAATAATTTAGTCTTTTTATGATTTTTCATCTGAGTTAACTTTAATTAACAGATTATTTAATAAAGTCAAAGTGAAAACAGCATTTCATGATAAAGCCAGCACCGTTTATTTATTTTTAATCTTCACTGATAAAAAAATACATTTTTATACATAAAAAGTAAAAAAAAAAACTTCCCGCCTGCCAGGGCTCGGAATCCGGCCTTTGTGAGCACGCGAGGCCGGGACTCGGGGTCCGGCCTCGCGTGCTTCAACGGGTCGGCAGCTTGTATGATCCTCCGCTCGCTTGAATTTTGTCGTCAGTCACCAAACACAAAAAACGCCTGGACTTCAGAATTAAACACGATGTTGTCATTAGTTTTTAAGCAGGGACCAAACAAGGTCCAGAATCAGCCTCAAAACAGCTAAAAGTACTAGCTAAAGTATTAGTGCAAAAGGGTTCTTTCCGTGGCGGGCTGAGCAGAGTATTAGGAGCAGTGCAAATACATAGTGGGGCGCACCCCCCTGGGGGGGCCCGGGGCAATGCCGGGGTGTGGCGCATGTGACCCAGGGATCATGCTTTTTTTTGTCGCAGAGAGTTTTTTGATTTTCTTGCACCGCTCTCATTTTGTCACGTGCATTCCGGCAGCTGTTTGCTCGTATCTCTCCGTCTTACTAATAATAAAGTTATGAAGAAATATGGCTGCCTTGTCGTTTTGGGAGCCATGAAAGAACCGTGTCGCTCCCCTCTGCTGTGGAAATGATAAAAAAATAACTCAAGACACCTCCACTGCATGCATTTTACGCACATGCGTTCTGGACGTCACCCACAGCTCGCATGCAACGAAGAGTAAACTCAAAGCGAGAGCGACACCTGCCCCCTCCTTCCTCTTTCACGTTGACAAAATGTTTTAGTTTTATCAACGAGTGGGCTCAATGATCCCGACTTCCTCATTTTGATTAAAACAATGAATAAATTAGCACAAAATACAAACTGGATTCCTAAAAAGTTTGGACACTAACCACTTTGTGAATAAAAACTGAATGTAATGATGTGGAGGTGCCAACATCTAACATTTTATTCAGAATAGAACACAAATCACAGATCAAAAGTTTAAACTGAGAGAATGCATCATTTTAAGGGAAAAATCTGTTGTTTCCAAATTTCATGGCGTCAACAAATCCCAAAAAAGTTGGCCAAGTCCATTTTTACCACTGTGTGGCATCCCCCCTTCTTCTTACAACACTCAACAGACGTCTGGGGACAGAGGAGACCAGTTTCTCCAGTTTAGAAATAGGAATGCTCTCCCATTCATGTCTAATACAGGCCTCTAACTGTTCAATCGTCTTGGGCCTTCTTTGTCACACCTTCCTCTTTATGATGCACCAAATGTTCTTTATAGGTGAAAGATCTGGACTGCAGGCTGGACATTTCAGTACCCGGATCCTTCTCCTACGTAGCCATGATGTTGTGATTGCTGCAGAATGTGGTCTGGCATTATCGTGTTGAAAAACGCAGGGTCTTCCCTGAAAGAGATGACGTCTAGATGGGAGCATATGTTGTTCTAGAACCTGAACATAGTTCTCTGCATTAATGGTGCCTTTCCAGACATGCAAGCTGCCCATGCCACAAGCGCTCATGCAACCCCATACCATCAGTGATGCAGGCTTCTGAACGGAGCGTTGATAACAACTTGGGCTATCCTTGTCCTCTCTGGTCCGGATGACATGGCGTCCCAGTGTTCCACAAAGAACTTCAAATCGTGACTCATCTGACCACAGAACAGTCTTCCATTTTGCCACACTCCATTTTAAATGACACCTGGCCCAGTGCAAACGTCTGAGCTTGTGGAGCTTGTTTAGAAATGGCTTCTTTGCACTGTAGAGTTTCAGCTGGCAACGGCGGATGGCACGGTGGATTGTGTTCACTGACAACGCTTTCTGGAAGTATTCCTGAGCCCATTCTGTTATTTCCTTGACAGTGGCATTCCTGTTTGAGGTGCAGTGACGTTTAAGGGCCCGGAGATCACGAGCATCCAGTAGAGTTTTACGGCCTTGACCCTTACGCACAGCGATTGTTCCAGATTCTCTGAATCTTTTGATGATGTTATGCACGGTTGATGATGATAACTTAAAAGTCTTTGCTATTTTACGCTGGGTAACACCATTCTGGTATTGCTGCACTATCTTTCTGCGCAACAATGGTGGAATTGGTGATCCTCTTACCATCTTGGCTTCTGAGAGACACTGACACTCTGAGAAGCTCTTTTTATACCCAGTCATGTTGTCAATTGACCTAATTAGTGTTAATTGGTCTTCCAGCTGTTCGTTATATGCTCAATTTCCTTTTTCCAGCCACTTATTGCTACTTGTCCCAACTTTTTTGGGATTTGTTGACACTGTGAAATTTTGAATCAACATATTTTTCCTTTAAAATGTTATATTTACTCAGATTCAACTTTTGATCTGTCATCTATGTTATATTATGAATAAAATATTGACATTTGCCATCTCCACATCATTGTATTCAGTTTTTATTCACAATTTGTTTAGTGTCCCAACTTTTTTGGAATCCAGTTTGTATTTTATTCTTTTTTTAGGTCAAAGTGTTTTATATAACACAGAGTTAAAATGTTGCAGATCAATTTGAATTTATTATTATTTATTGATTATATTTAATTTTATTTTTCAGTATCAAATGGTCAAAAATGTTTAGTTTAAAAAATGATGTTTTTTTTTCAGGCAAATTGATGCACTTTAATTAGTTTCTGTTACAGACTAAAAAACAATGTTAATAAAGTTATTCTTTATTGTAAGCTGATCAATTATTTTCTTTAATGTTAATAAGGACACAATGTTTTGCAGAGTTGTATTTATAACAATTTTATAGACAAATTATACTATTTACAGTCGCAGCAGAGAGTTTGGGGGGGGGGGGGTGTTTACATGTTCCTAGTGGGGGGGCGTAACAGAAAATAAATGAGAAGCACTGGTGTAGTGAAACATGGTGGTGGGAGCAGAGACTGGGAAACTGGTTGCAGTTTAAGGAAAGATGGATGGAGCAAAATACTGAGAATTATTGGGGGGGAACCATCCATCCATCATCTTTACCCACTTCTTCCTTTTCAGGTCACATGGGTCACTGGTGCTCATGTCCAGCAGTCACTGTGCGAGAGAAGAGGGGGTGGACAGGTCTCCAGTCCACCACAGGGACACAGAGACAAACGAGACAAACATTCATTCTCTCACCTAGGAACAATTTAGAGTTACCAATCAGCCTCGCCTGAATGTTTTTAATCTGTGGGAGGAAACCCACGAAAAAAACGTGCAAACTCCACCCAGAAGGGCCCCCGGCTGGGATTCAATCCGACAACCTTCTCTCTGAGAGGCAACAGCTCTACCAACTGAGCCACCCTGATGGGAAACCTGTTTGGAGATTTCTGAAGATTTGAAAGTGGGACAGAGACAGGGACCTTCCAGCAGGACAATGAGCCTAAAAACTCTGCTCAACACGCCACAAGTTCAAAAAGAACCAGTTAAATGTTCTGGAAGGGTTCAGTCAAAGTCCAGACCTGGATCCAACAAAGAATCCTGTGCTCATATTTTGTGCTGTCCTTAAGCAAGACACCTGTCCCCTAACTGATCACTAGGCTGTCCACTGCTCTGCTTGGGTGTATCATCTAAAGTGTGATACAGACACAAAGTTTTGTTGTTGTATGGGAACATGCAATAAACTTTCCCTTCGAGGTATACCACAAATGTAAAAAAGTAACAGAATCCAAGAAAACACACATTCATCAGGTGCTTTTGTTTTTCTCTAAACAAAACTATTTGAGATCTTTGAATTACAAATATGTTGTGCGCATTAAAGACACCCCAAACACCCAACTTTAATTTCTTGAAATTAGATTTTTTAGGCCGTAAAAGAAGTGCAATAAATTATAATGCAATAATGAAAGGGGTACAAACAATACATAAACATTTTTAACCAATTTGAAAGCAGGTGAATGAAAATATTCAAATGAATAAACAAACTGATGGCTTTAACATAAATAGCTGTAGTATTAGAGGTCATATCTCTGTTTAAAGTCCTATCAAACTCACCTTTGACCCAGCCAACATTTTGCTGAGCATTTTAGTTCCATTTCCAACACCGACAACTGAAACAAAGTCACCGTTACATTTGTAGTTTTGATTTTCCAAAAAGATGAACAATTGAATCAATACAGGTGCTGGTCATCAAATTATAATATCATGAAAAAGTTGATTTATTTCAGTAATTCCATTCAAAAAGTGAAACTTGTAGATTATATTCATTCATTACACACAGACTGATATATTTCAAATGTGTATTTCTTTTAATGTTGATGATTATAACTGACAACTAATGAAAACCCAAAATTAACTATCTCAGAAAGTTTGAATATTACTTAAAACTAGGGCTGCACCGATTGCAGTTTTCTGGCCGATCACCGATTTCTAAAAAGTCTGACCTGCTAATTCAGATTTTGGCTGGTAGTGATTTTGTTTTATAAGCGACACTAATGCACCTTCAATTTTCCAATATTATTTTATTGGAAAACATACACTTGAACAATATCCTAGAAACAATACAAAATTGTTTTAACTGGTCACGAGGTAGTGTTTCTAAAATATAAATGAAGTTCAGACAATTGTTAAAACAAACAACAAAATCAGTAAAATCGATTTCTCATGCAAACTGATGGCTTTAACAGACTGGCCAATTTCCCATATCCCTAAATTAAGGAAATCAGGGCCGATTTATCGGTGCACCACTAAAGACCAATTAAAAAAAATTATTTTTAGAAATGTTGGCCAACTGAAAAGAACAAACATGAAAAGAACAAACATGAAAAGAACAAACATGAAGAGAACAAACATGAAGAGAACGAGCATGAAGAGAACGAGCATGAAAAGTACGAGCATGAAAAGTACGAGCATGAAAAGTACGAGCATGAAAAGTACGAGCATGAAAAGTACGAACATGAAAAGTATAAACATGAAAAGTACGAACATGAAAAGAATAAACATGAAAAGTATAAACATGAAAAGTATAAACATGAAAAGTACGAACATGAAAAGAATAAACATGAAAAGTACGAACATGAAAAGTATGAACATGAAAAGTACGAACATGAAAAG